ACTTTTTCTTGAGAATATTTCTGGATCCCAGCCAACTTTTCTTGGATCCTGGCTAAATCGCCGTCGCAGTGCTAGCGCCTCTAATTATCCCCTGCGGATACTGGCGGCTAGGGCTTTGGTTCCTCCTGCGCGTCCTCCTTTCTCTTACACCTATTTGGATCACTTACGAATCTGAGACAGAATTGGAAGGCTACCACAGACTGAAGATAGTCAGTGGTAGCCTTCCAATTTTTCTTATACGTCCCTGGTTCTCTTACGAAAAGGACACACAGCAATTTTCGTTAGTCAGTTGGTTGTCTTTCTGTCACGCGGGTCATCTGGCCTCGACTTCTTTGGTTACAGATAAAATACGAGGTAACTTCGCTGGCTGATGCATCAATTTGGTGTGAACCAAGTGTAGTAGACGATAGTGGTGTCGCTGATTATTTATCCACAGGACGAACCTCGGTGTTGAACCGGGAGGGCAACCTCTAATACAGTCAGGTGTTCCTTATAAAGGTAGAAAGAAGGAGCTGACTCTTGCACATTCAAACTGTATGAGAGATAACATAAATGAAAGAGGATGCCGCGGTTTAGCGCGGCCCCTGGAAGATAGATGCTACTCGATGGTGAGTGTACGGCACTCAAACATCAGCAGCTGGGGAATATAGCCTGTAAATACCGCAGGCTATCAAAATCGAGTAGTGTAGGTTGATGATATACAAGTCATCAACATCGTGCTCTCGCAACATTTTGAGCTCGCCGCGCGTCCACAGCGTATGAGCAGTCAGTGCGGCCAACGAAGCAACGACACATTCGACACATTCGGCCAATGTATCGACGACACGCGGAGGGGCGCAGAATATAACTGAGGCGACCATCTGGGGTAAGGAGTGAGCAAAACTGAGTCGATAGAGTTTCTGAAAATTTTCAAATGCTAGCTTTTGTGCTGAGGTAAACCGTATCTTCAGAGGGGAGCAGACAGTGAAATAAGGTTGCGCGTGTTTTGCAGAGTGAGGTACCGGGCACTCGCTCTTTAAATGAAACAAATGGGTTCTGACACTCATAAATCTTCAAAACAAATGGGTTCTGATTTAAAAAAAACAGGGTGTATAGAGTGCGTGCATCCTAATCATTGCTCCTACCTACAATGCGTCTAAGACGCGCCATAGTCAATCTGCCTAATCCACTTGATCCGCTTGATCCGCTTCGTCATTGG